TCTTTCACCACCTTTGCAAATGTGCTAACACTCCAAGTGTCTCACCATCACGTGCAAAGTGTATTAGCATTTTCACAATCATTTTTCAAAGGTTATTCACTTCTCACCGATTGTGCTCTAGGCCTAAAATGCATATGCAAATTTTCCAACACCTAGTGGCACTACATGATCGAGATGTCCGATAAGAGCTCTCCTTTTAATAGTACGACCATCTATCCTAAATGTGATCACACTTTCTATATTGTCTTGATCAACGAAAATAAAATGGCCCGGCACAGTGGGGCGGCACGGCGCCCATGTGGGTGCAGCTTCAATGGTGGTTGACCAAGCATGACTCCTGCAGCTACAGTTGAGTGAGCGGGCAACCTTAACGGTGCCCTTATCCATAGAGGAAAGTGGCCTCATGGAGAAGACCTGATTGTGCCATCGGTGCACATGATGATGCAGTGGTTGGTGGAGTTGAGTCTGACAAGTAGTAGCTAGACCTCACAAGAGTTCTTGTTCTCGTTTCTCATGAATATTTGATAGATTTTTCCCATTACAATACGCAGACATATTTGTTAGTTATGGACAGAAGAATAAAAAGTCAGAATTGGAGTACCTATAAATGGATAGAAACTTGAAAAAAAAAACAAAAATACCGCAGAAAGAAAACTAAAGACAGAGGGAAACTTGGAAGAAAAAAAGAAAAAAAAACGGAAAGAAAACATTGGCAAAAACGGGGAAAAGGAAAAATAGACGGACGGAAAAACAAAATACAGAACCACGAAATAGAAACGGAACCGATAAACACTCAGCAAAACAGAAACATGATCGGGAACCTAGTAGAAAATAAGAAAAAAGTGAATATAGGAAAGAAAAACAAAAATTAAAAAGAGACCAAAATTGAAAAAAAAAACTTCTCGTGGTTGAATATTAGAGTAAGATTAAGATATATTTTTTTGTGATTTATGAGGCCTACAAGCGGAGGCACTTGTAAGTCCAGCAAAAAAATCTTAGTGCTCTTTCTTGATCATGAGTTCAATTTAGCTAGAGCTCTGCCTTGGTCGATTCATTCTTTCCTGCTCTCCCTTCCTTTTTCCGTTACGGCTGCAACTTTAGCGTGTCATACCCGGATTCCTGGGGAGGTGGGCGACCATAAAGCTAACGTTTGTATGAGTTCTGATACAGTTGGTATTCTTTTTTTCTCAGGCCTCAAGAACATATATTCAAGTGGTAGACAGCCGAATAAAAACTATTTTCACATTCACATAGTTAGTTAGGAAGGCCATACCAAAATAAAAGTACAAAAACGGTGGAAATTTTGCCTCTTTATTATTAGGTATAGGTATAGATATATATATAGATATAGATATAGATATAGATATAGATATAGATATAGATATAGAAGCCCTTTAAATCAATTCAATAATCTATGATTGTATTTTGACTAAATGGTTTATATAATAATAGATTTAAAAAATTAAGTTTTTTATCACGTTGCAACATGGGAACATTTGCTGGTTTATATATAAATAAAATAAATGATTTATTCCTCGTCAGTATCTGTAGCACAATGTGGACCTTTTGGAGCAATGGTAGGCCTAACCCTGGACTTTGCATGTGCTTCTATGGGATTTCGTTGAGCGTTGACTGAAGTCGTGTAGTACATAGACTATTTCACGTCGTTGTCCTTATCATACAATAAATAGCTCTGGCTTTTTCAAGCGTCCGTGTGGAAAAAAGGCACAAACAACCCTGTTGACGCCGAATCGATTTTTGCTTTTGAGAAGAAACAGTCAAGAGAAAGGATATATCTTTGCCAATGCAACTTGCAAGCACTGTGTTATCAAAACAAAAATACTTGCAAGCACTGCCATGCTTGCTCAGCTCCTTTTATGAATAATAATAATAATAATAATAATAATAATAATAATAATAATAATATCTATATCTATATCTAATAATAAAGAGGTAAAATTTCAGCCCACTTTTTTGGTCCATTTTTTTTGTCCGTTCCCTCTAACTACCGACCAATGGAGATTTCTTCCGTCCAGACTAATATATATATATATATATATATAGCCCGTGCTCACACGAATTATAATAGTTCTTGTCTAGCGCGATACGAAGCTCGATTCTAAAACGTATTGGGTCAGAAACTGAAAGTCTAGATTCCTATTTTTTTAATATTTATAATGGAAATTGGAAAAAGGAAAAAGTGACTGATTAAAAACCAATTGGAAGTGACGGAACCAATGGGATGCGAAAAAAGAAGACCGTGAAAAATTAAAAAACGAAACCCAATCAGATACTGTAAAGCAACGAAAGAAAAAGAAGACAAACTTCTCTACGCTAATAAGAAAATAGAAAAACAGATAGAGCGTGCACAAGAAAAAAAATTCCGGAACCCCAGATCCCACGGCAGCCAGTAGTGAGTATTTGTCTAAATAAAAATAAGCCGCCAGTCAAGAAAAAAAAGAAAAGAGAAAAAGACTAACAAAAAAAATACTCCCAAAGATATCCTAGGTAACCTAGGTAGTTTTTTTTTGTGTGACTTAGGTAACATAGATAGTTAGGAATCCTAATCTTAATTCCAATATATCTCTCCGATCATGAGTAAGTGGAATATGAATATTAATAAACAAATAGAAAATGATAAAATAGAAATCAAGAAGACTTTTTTGTCCAACTCAGTTTGCCTCTAAATATTAAATCATGTAAAGTTTTTTGTCCGACTCTATTCGTTTCCGTGGCTTTTTCCAACTCTCGTTTCGTTTTTCTTCGGTATCCTTTTTCATCTTTTGGAGTAAGACTCTCGTCTCTGCCCCTTTTGTTTACTGTATCACAGATGGACTCACTGTCGTGTTTCGCCATGCCTATTTTCCTTGAGGAACATGTACCCATGGCTGGTTACTGTGGTCACATGCTCACATATGCATGGGGATGGTATAGGCATGCATGCAAAAAAGATATGCGGCCAATTTTTTTGCCCATGCCTTTTTCCATTTTATTTGTCCTTCTATATAAAACAAATAATAAGTATACTTATCTTTGATTAATAAATAAATATTCCTACCACTAAGTTGTTGATATAGTTTTGATTATGAACAAAACTTATTTTTGTTAGAAGCCAAATCAACCAATTATCCATTTTATCAAATAATGAGCAAATTTTGAACAAGCTCTACGTAAGTATCAGTGCAATCCTCGACAAGGGCTGTAACTCAATATTAAACTCTACCTACATATAGATATTATCAAATCTAAAATTACGGTGTGCCTTACAATGGGTGAAATGTTTCTATCAAAGTATTATTTTTGGATATAGATTTAATAGGATATTATCATATTATTGCCAATACTAATTGATATTATAAATTTCGTGCTCATCAAAATAAATTATAAACTTTAAATTTTATGGAAAGAATAAAACATTAATAGATATGTAACATTTCTATGATATTATTTTTTTCGTTGCAACGTACGGACATATTTGCTAGTAACCGCTATTACAGAAAAACAGCTGCTGTTAACTGGTGCATTAATAATTACTCCGTATTATACGTATAAAAAAACTGAAAAACGTTTGGAACGTTGGCAATACAAACACATGGACCATCATGCTCTCTCTTTATTCCCGAAGTCCAGGGATGGACGACCGAGCTGTCTAAGGCCCAGAAGAGTACGTGGGGTCCAGGATCCGACGGCGGAACGGAAGGCCGGTATCGGCATCGGACGGCCTGGGCGTCCCCGTTGAGGGCCCAGGTTGCCGCGGTTGGTTGGTTGGGTGGCGTCCCTCTGCCACCTCTCCTCTCTCACGCTGTCGTCTCCAACTTTCCCTTGGCTTCCAAGTTTGCAACGGAAGGCCTCCCCACCCTCCTGGCCACCTCCCCTCTCCAGCTTGATCGATCGATCCATTCACCCATCCATCGCTTCCAAGTTTGCAACTGACATTGCCGCGCCGCGCACGACTTCCGCCCTCCCCACCCTCCGCCTCACGCATATATACGCGCGCGCCTGCCTCCCCTGCCCCTCCCTCCCTCCCTGCCCACGCGCTCCGCTCCTCGCCCCCCTCTCCTACGCCGCCGCCGTACCCACGGGCAGGGGCACGGCTGGTGGCTCATCGCCCGCCCGCGCGCTTCCCCTCCGTCGGAATCGGAACATACAAGCACCGGCGCCGCGGGATTCAGCTCCGTCCGCCGGCCCGCTCGGACGGAGGCCAGGTTTGCTTCCCTGCCAAAGCCTCCGCCTTTCCTTCAGCCCTCGGTTCTGATTTCGTCCGATTCGCAGTACTAGATACTCCACTTGTAGTATAATAATCGTGCCCGCCGGCCGAAGTCCAAACAAGATCTTTTCTTTCAGAGTTTTTTTTTTATTTACTTCGCATACAAGAAAAAAATAAAAAAAAAAAGTTTTTTTAAGCGCCGGTTAGGTGGTCTTGGAATTAGGATTTCAGCCGCAGAAGGGGGTTCATGGAATTCAGATTCCAGATGCATGCGGGGCTTTCGGTTTCGAATTTGACGCTGCTATTTTGCGACCTGTAAACAGAGCTAGTTAATTCAGCTGCTACCTGTGCCTGCTCTGTACTTGACTACTTGTGGGAGTAATTGTAATTCTGTGGAGGACATTAATTAGCTGTTGTCTGCATTTGACCGCAAGGGAAACTGAAATTGGCCTGCAGCAGTTCATTCTGTGCACACAAAATCTTGTAATACACTCCAACTATTCTGGTTACTTGGGCAAACCGAGTAGAAAGTGCATACTTGGGCATTGCTCATACTTTTAGATGCAGTCCAACTATTCTGGTTACTTGTTAGTAGCTCGCTATGCTATGCAAATGCACGAAACATATTTGGATTGGAGTCTTCTGACTATGGATTGCTACTGTCTGTGTTTCCTGCAGGCTTCCTTTTTGTTTGCATAATAAAGTCGCTGCCATTATGATCTCCCCCATATGATGCGTAGCATTTGTCGCTTGCAACTGTATCGCTCCTCTAGCTGCACCCTTGTACTAGAGCATGGCGAAGCTCGCAACTCTTGGTCGCAGGTTTGTATACCTACATGCTTGTCTCCACTCGAGCTATTGACTTCTGGACGGCTAACGTCACCTGCTAATACGTTCTGCCCTTGTTGACGCTCGCAGTGTGCTTAGATTCCCAAATGGAAGCATGAGGCTTGTTATGGTAACAATTATTGGAGCAGTCCTTGGCTTTTTCATTGGAATTTCATTCCCTTCGGTCAGCATAACAAAGGTATTAACGATAATAATGTCCACCATAACTGCAATACCTCAACTAATTGAGTAATTACTTATGTCTGTTTCGAATACGCCAGCTTCACTTTCCAGCTAGCTTTGTTTCATACATTGAAGACAAAAACTCTGGACTCACAACCCAAGCTATACTCAATCATGCTTGGACTTCTGCCAGAAACGCAAGGGGAAACGGTACCGAACCAACTTCAAACAGTACCTTAAAGGTTAGTTGTATTACTCTGTTACACGACTTAGCTTAGTTGTGGAGTACTATGGCTATTTGAATGATATACATTTAACGTGATCTTCTCCTTGAATACCAGATACTTATAAATATTGAATAAACCGTTTGCTATTTCCTGATATATTGTAGTTTGTCTAATGAGTTTTTTTTCTTTGATGATCTGTAGATTTATGTCCCAACGAACCCCAAGGGTGCAGAGGGGCTAGCACCACGTATCGTTGTATCAGAGTCTGACTTCCATTTGCGCAGGTTATGGGGAGACCCAAGTGAGGTATATTTTCTTGTGCACCATCATCTCATCAATCTTCTCCAAGTGCATTTGATATATATATATCTAGCTGGACATGTTGAGAACTATACTGGAAACCTAATTTCTAACTCTTTGATACTTCTCTTGACACATGCTTTAAGCATATGCTCCTTCTCCTGCTTGTTCTTTCTTTGTTTTCTTCACATTTCTGAATTTTGTGTCTTGTGCTTCTTTGGACATGTGCTACAAGCATATACTGAGCTGAAGTTCTCTATTTCTTGGTTGGATTCACAAATAATTGAAACTGAAAAATCAAAGCTTTGCACTGTTTCTGCATTTTGTTGCTTGCAATGTTCTATGCTGATATTTGATCTTGAATATACAGGACCTGCCTTTCAAACCAAAGTACCTTGTTACCTTTACTGTTGGAGTTGAGCAGAAAGAAAATATAAACAGAGCTGTGAAGAAGGTATTTTTGACAACAGCATCAATGAGCTGAAAAATGAAAATAATGCCTTTCCCTAGTTTTGATGATAATGAACTTTCATATCCATTTATGGCATTTTGTTTAACTCAGCTTCCTGATTGTTTTGTTGTGGGTGCTGCAGTTTTCTGACAATTTTGCTATTCTGTTATTCCACTATGATGGTCGGGTGAGTGAGTGGGATGAATTTGAGTGGTCCCAGCGAGCTATCCATATTAGTGTCAGGAAACAAACTAAATGGTGAGTTTCATTTGTGCTCTAGTGTACTGTTCATAGTTCAATTGCTTAATTTGAAATGATCTTGTGCTAAAAGTTTTGTTTGTGCACACAACTCTAGGTGGTATGCCAAAAGATTCCTGCATCCTGATATTGTGGCAGCTTATGAGTACATATTCATCTGGGATGAGGACCTTGGGGTTGAGCATTTTAATGCAGAGGAGTATGCTTTCATTCTCCCCACTTCCTTTCAGTGCTATTCAACATTGACTCTCTTACATATTATTGATGATGTTGGGGTTACAGGTACATCAAACTTGTTAAGAAGCATAATTTGGCCATCTCTCAACCTGGATTAGAGCCTGATCGGGGTTTAACATGGCAGATGACCAAAAGAAGAGGTGACAGTGAGGTTCACAAGTGAGTGTAATTCTTATCTGAAAAAGAATACTTCTTTTATTTTTCTGCTGAGCTCTTGTGTTCTAATTTTGCATCATTTTTGTTATAGGGATACAGAGGAGAGGCGGGATGGTGCTCTGACCCTCATCTTCCACCTTGTGCTGCGTATGTGGTTATTGCCCTCTTGCTGTGTTTCTTCTCCTCCCAGAACACTTACCAGTTCCCGTAATACTATCACCAGTCTCCCATGATCTACATATAGAGTTAACTTATCTATGTTTTATTACAGTTTTGTTGAAATAATGGCTCCAGTCTTCTCAAGGGATGCATGGAGATGTGTGTGGCATATGATTCAGGTTTGTCTGTCATACCTCCCCTTGTGTCTACCTTCGATCCTTCCTTTACATAATTGTTCAATATTTCTTTGGTTGCAGAATGACTTGGTTCATGGTTGGGGCTTGGATTTTGCTCTCAGGAAATGTGTGGAGGTTTGTATTGTTTGAGAGAGTTTTATACGATTCTAGTGAGCTGCTATTTCTGAATGTGTGCACTGAATGCCCGCGACATTGTTCACAACAGCCTGCTCATGAAAAGATTGGAGTTGTTGATTCACAGTGGATCGTTCACCAAGTGGTTCCTTCTCTGGGGAACCAGGTAAGGAGAAATATTATGTTTTTTTCTTTCTTTTATTTTGAATATGTGAACTTTGGGTTTTTTACCATTTTCTTACCATCATAATTCGTATATAAAAACCTTGCAGGGGCAGTCAGAAAACGGAAGAGCGTCATGGGAAGGGGTACGTTTATTGCCTGAAAACTTGCTGTAGAGTGGTTTTCAGGAAGGAAGTTGCTTATGTTTCTAAGCAGTTGTCATATTGTTGTCCATGGGAGCTTATGAATGACAGTTTATTTATCTGTCGTTTAGGTGAGGGCGCGGTGCAGGAAGGAATGGGGCATGTTCCAGACGAGGATGGCGGAGGCAGAGAAGGCGTATTACAAGATGATGGGCATCACCCCTCCAAACTCCACGCTTGTCTAGCCGCCTTTTTTCTTGGTTTTTCCATCCCCGCCCCCTGACCTTTTGTGGTGGTGGGTGAGCTGATGATACTGTAACACTATACTTGATTATAGGGAATTAGAGATGGTGGGTGCGTGTAGCTGCCTATGATGAGAGGTCCTTCTGTAAGTAAATGCAAGGTGAAACTGTGATGAAAAAGCATGTACACGAGGATGTTACCAAATGATCTATCTATATATCTAGTATGGCCTTACTTCCTATCGCATCGAATTTTTGACATATGCATGGAGTATTAAATATAGACTAAAAAATTAACTAATTGCACATATTATGACTAAGTTGCGAGATGAATTTTTAAGCCTAATTAGTCCATGATTTGGCAATATTGTGCTACAGTAAATATATGCTAATGCCGATTTGATTAGGTTTAATAAATTCGTCTCGCGGATTACTGACAAATTCTGTAATTTGTTTTTGTATTTATCTGAACACCCCATGCGACATCCGATGTGACATCCCTAAACTTTATCTCCTGAATTTAAACACCACCAGCCTCGTTTGGTGCTCTAACCTTGACTGTTGTGCTGGAATTAATTCGCTGGCATTAAATTTGTAGTGAGCAGTTCATATTACTCAATACTCCTTGTCAAAATTCATTTGTTCGCGTGTCTACGGACCAAAGTCTGCCATGCCTGGAAACCTTCTTTTTTTTCTGCAGCGTGTTCACTGTTCAGGGGTAAGAAACCCTCTGCGTCACCGCACGATCAACCACTACCACACGATGGGCGCGAAAACCGAAGCGTCACCGCACGCGGGCGGCTTCCCGCTTCCCTAGGCCAGACCGAGGGAGACCGAAAAACGAAATCTCCGCCGGAAGACCAACCGATCCCCCGAGCCGATCGAATCGCTCAGGATAAACACCGAGACACAGGTAGGAAGCGAAGGGACGCCCCATGTGGGCCATGCCGACTCTGTCACGAACGACGAGCACGGGTCCCCGGTCGGACGTTTCCAACCGAAGCCTCTCCGAGCCCCGTCTCTCCAGTCGTCAAGGTAAAACATTACCAAAACCCCCTCTATTTCTTTATAAATCATTCATACATCCATACGCGCATTTCATTTCATATGCCCGCGCCTCCCGGATGATTCGGACCCTGAACCGCCCGGGGGCTCGGAAACTAAGCATCGCACGTGCAGCGAAATGCATCAGAACGCTCCGTGTTGCATCACAAAGTGGCGGTTGCCTCATTCGACATGGGCAACCAACAGAGCCAGGGGAGAAAACCGTAGATGAGCACCGTGCGGCCCTAGCCTGGTCCAGCAGACCGGGTCATCTCAACCTTCTCGTTCGATCCTAAACCTCTCGCCAGGCCCACAGAATCTCCATCAAAGGGGAGGCCGTTAGGCCACCTGGGTCGGTCTTCGGAACGACCTAGGCATCTGTCGGGTTGCAGGTAAAGGAGTAGTGGAATGTCACAAGAGGGCTATGCCGACCCCGTCACGAAAGACAGACCCGGATTCCACTCGATCACACCCGTTAGCGAACTCACCGAGCTAGTCTTCAAGCCCGAGCGATCGGGACAGGCGACAAAACTCAGCCCCTCCGGTTGTGAGGAACCGAGGATGGGGTAACGCACAATACTCACATCGACCCCCACGAAGGCCCGATAAGGCTCGGGGGCTCAAGACAAACGCCAAGGACAGCGACCTCGAACTCGCCAGATCCACGACTCCAACTCGCCCGGTCCCACGGTGCGCACCGACGCCAGGATCCGCGAGCATCGCCTCGTCCGATCTTTAACCAAACTAACTACACTTCGGCTTCAAAACGGCTTCACTTCCGACTGCGCTCCAAAAACCTTGGGACTGCGACTCCAAACTCGCTTCGACAGGATCTACGACATCCGGCTACGGCTCTTGGGACCGCGACCCCGAACTCGCGTCGACATGATCTACGACATCCGGCTATGGCTCTTGGGACCGCGACCCTGAACTCACGTCGATAGGATCTACGACATCCGGCAACGGCTCTTGGGACCGCGACTCCTAAACTCGCGTAACGGTTTCACTTCCGACTGCGCTCTAATAAAACCTGGGACCACGACTCCTAAACTCGCGTAACGGCTTCACTTAGGATCCACGAGCTCCGGCTCGTCCGATTCCTGAACTAACTAAACTAACTCTCTCGATCCACGGCGCGCACCGACGCTTGGGTCCGTTCGCGGCTCCACCTCGCTCGATCCCGCGGCACGCATCGACGCCAAAGATCAGTGAGCCCTAACACGTCCGAACCGAGCTCTCACCGTCTGTGGCGCGCACCGACGCCAGTGTTTTCTCTGAACTAACCTTCTCACCCGATCCGCGGCGCGCACCGACGCCAGAATCAGTAAGTTCTATCTCATCCACGCCTAAAAATCCCCTCGGCTGCACAACGACGATGTGGTTAAAATCCCGTCTCAAACTAAAAACACGCACGCCCGAAACAACACCCCCGAGACGGTTCTACCCGAACCACCCGGGGGCTCGGGGGCTACACCCGCGGGTGCGCTCGCGCGCACCCACCGGCAAGACAAAAATCCCCCGGACGATTCTGCTCAAATCGCCGGGGGCTTGGGGGCTCCTGTCGGGTTCATAAACCCGGGATCCCTCGGGGACCGGCTTCCACGCCAGAGCTCGGCCTAGGAAAACAGCACGTAGTTCATGAGCCAGCCCAAGAGTCTAAAAAAACAACGGGCCGGAAGGACAGCCCGGTCGCCGATCGGAATGTCTACCCAAACGAACAAGCGCCCGCTCATCAACCTCTTCGGCCCACCTCTCCAACTGGAGCACTCGCTTCAGGCACCAGCCGCCTCCGAGTGGTCTCTCTGATCGGAAGGCCTGGGCCAAAACGTTGCTTCCTACTCCGACCCCGCGACTCCAATCGGGGACCCGTAGGATGCCTGCTTACCGCTCTTCTCCGACTGGCATGGCCAGGGCCGATTGGTGCCATCCATCCGGGGACGTCCACTAGGAAAGGATCAGGGGCGAACGGAGAAGGCAGCGCACAAGTCAAACCACGATACCGGGACCATACCCTGTACGCCTACGGGAACAGTGCTCCACAACCGCTCTGACGCAAACAGTATTGTAGGCGCCGATATTTGTGCCTATAGTATTGTAGGCATCATTGGGCTCCCATACGGCAAAAAGTCCCCCATGCCTCTGGGCATCGATAGTGGGCGTCAGGATTCACCATACCTGGTACACGTGGTAAGGGCTCCTCACATAACCATCGTATTTTGTAGGTACCGACATCCACCCTTCCTGAAGAAGCCAACACAACCACCCATGTGCACCTGACATTCTATAGTGACATTAACAGTATTGTGGACGTCTACCATCATCGCTACCCTCATCGACGTGGGCAACAAGGCTTAGAAACATCCGTACTCTCTCTCTCTCACCTGTAAAGCCATCCCCTTTATCTATAAAAGGGGATGCGCTTCTTCCAACAAAGGAGGCCATTTTTTCTTCGAGTTTAGACTCACTAGATCGATAGCTCACAAACCCCTCGAGCACACGCTTGAACACCTAGCTCATAGCAGAGTTCCGGTCGTCCTCGGCCCTTCCGGTCGGACCCGACCGGGCCTCTCGTACACCCCTCCTTTTTCCTTCTCGTTTGTAACCCCACTACAGACTTCGAGCACCTGGGCTCAGGAATAAAGTCACGGACCGACCCACACTGGACGTAGGGCACGTTGTCTAAACCAGTATAAATCATGTGTCATTGAGTGCTAGGCCACATCCGATCACAATGTACAGCAAAACTACAAATATTCACTAGTTGGTCACTTTCTGTACCGACAGGTAGCTTACCGAAAGGCGCAAGAGGGGTTCCGATTGATTTGATTTCGGCTTGTCAAGGGGGGTGCACTTTGGTTTCTTTGTCTTTTGTTAGTCACACCTTGGAGGGGAATCTTACTGATTGATGGGGAATCCTTAGCGGGTTGCTACCTATTTGTGGAACCTGCGAACAATCTCCTAGTGTACCCTGCCACACTCCCTTAGAAGAGGTGATGGCATATGGAAATCACGACTTGCGGTGAAAGTGTACAATCTATGCAGAGTGTAAAACAATTATATCAACCGTGCTCACGATCATGAGCGGCCTTGGGACCCTTATGGAATAGAAGAACACCTGTGATTAATTTGTTTATGCTATACATTATTCCTGGTACATGATCATCTGGTTATTTGGGGCTTATGCTAAACTTGTTCCTACTCAATTGCTAAAATTATGGCTCACTAAAAGCTAATAGCAGTAAATCAGTGTCAACCTTTTGAGCCTCGTGAACCCCATGTTATATTTGTTGAGTACGACATGTATTTACACTTGCTTTACTTTTTAATTCTTCGAAAAAATCTTGGATGGGTACCAAATAGGTACTAGATTGCTAGAGTCAGGAGGAGTTTAGGTTTGTGATCAACCAGTCAGCTGTCCCTATAAAGTTGGAGTCTTCACCTGAGGATCAGAGTTGTACTCTTACCGCTATTTGTTGTCTAAGATTATACCTTTTGTGCTAAGTACGTTATATATTAAGTACTTTGATATTATCTCTATTTATAGCCATATATGTGATTTGACTTTCTGAGCTCACATATGGTGTATATCTGGTTTTGTCTTTAAAATCAGGTGCTACGTGTTCTTCCAAACAGTTTTCATATAAAAAACCCAGCAACATCCACACTGCCTTTGTACCACACTCCGATTTCGCCAGCATGGGTTTTCCTCATGTGAGTCTTCAGCTAAGCGCGCAAGGGGCGACGACGGCAGCGCTCGTCCAGCCGGTGAAGATCCAGCTTTGGTGAAGGAGAGGAAGGATCAGGCGAAGAGGAACGAGGAGCACCACTTTCGCCTCATCAAGGACAATCAGTTCGCAGTCGTAGTCATGCAGGCCACATTCAACAAGTTGGACGATGTGGCAAGTGTTCTGGGGCTCCCTCGCGTTGATCGGTCGCGCGAAGAGAAAGTTACAAACTAT